TATCTTGATAGGAGACTTTAATCTTCCAGCAATTGACTGGTCTCTCGATCAACCAACGCCTGCAACTAATGGAGGTCAACTTGAAGAGTCATTTTGTGATTTGGTAGCCGATAGTTTCCTACAACAATTCATCTCTGGCTCCACGCACATTGATGGTAACAAGCTTGATCTGCTGCTCTGTAACTGTCCTGAGATTATAAAAAACGTATCATCACTTCCACCCGAACAATTAACTTTTCCAACCGATCATAACATCATCGAATTCGAGGTCCAACATTCGTTTCGTCGTGCTAACCCAGTAACACGCACTGTCTTCGATTATAAGCGGGGAAATTTTGATGAGCTCCGCAGTTACTTAACACGCAAGCCCTGTGAAACTATTTCATCTGATGATATTAACGAGTGCTGGTCACAATGGAAAGAATGGTTCCTAAACGCTGTTCAGAAATATATCCCTGTTAAAAAAGTTAAGGACAAAAACTCGCCTCCCTGGATTGACGGAGAAGTAAGATACCATATTCGAAAGAAATATGCTGCCCTGAAGAAATATAGGAAAACTCGAACTGACTATCGTAAGCGAAAGCTGCGTGAAATAAGTCAAACTATCAAATATCTAGTTCGAACGAAACATCGTGACTACTTACTTAAGATTAAAGAGTCTTTCCGCAGCAACCCGAAACTGTTCTGGAGCTATCATAAAGCTGTTTTTCATCACCGGTCAACTCAAAACGCTGTCATTTCACATAACGGCATTGTGGCAAAAACACCTACTGAGAAAGCCGAACTTTTTAACTCCTACTTCTCGTCAGTTTTCCAACCTTCAACGACTAATCAAGCTACTAACTCCCGCAATTCTCGACTACCAACCGATTCACAACTAAGTGAGATCACGCTCGATGTCGAAGAAGTTGTAAGCAGTCTGTTGAATCTCAATGTCTCAAAAGCTAGTGGCCCTGATGGAATTCCTGCCCGCCTTCTGAAAGAATGTAGTCATCAAATCGCTCCAAGCCTTTGCACTCTTTACAACCATTCACTAAGATCTGGACATATTCCTTCTGAGTGGAAATCAGCAGATGTTACTCCAGTGCACAAGAAGAATTCCAAAGAACCAGCTGTGAACTACAGACCAATCTCGCTATTGCCCATCATTAGTAAGACCTTAGAACGGTGCATTTACTGGAGATTTTATGACCATGTTGTGAACCTTATCAGTCCATCTCAATACGGTTTTCTGAGAAGTCGCTCGTGTGTCACCCAACTCCTGTCAGCTTTCCACTCTATCGGGCAAGATCTAGATAAGAATACTCAGACTGATGTCTTGTACCTGGACTTCGCCAAAGCGTTTGACTCCGTTGACCGTAATATCTTGCTGGATAAGCTGCGTTCGTACGGCGTGACAGGATCTGTTCTTGATTGGTTCGCTGACTATTTAAACGGTAGGACTCAGAGAGTTGTTGTGGATGGAGTAGCTTCTGCATGGTCATCAGTCACTTCAGGTGTGCCTCAGGGAAGCATTCTTGGACCAGTTTTGTTCATTATATTCATTAACGATCTCCCAGACATCATACATAACGGAACTGAAATTGCCCTGTTCGCGGACGATACGAAAATTCACAGACATATTATCTCGACTCGCGACTGTGAAAGCTTACAACATTCATTGGTCAAGTTACATCTGTGGAGTATGAAAAACAATCTCTTCTTCAATGCCTCTAAGTGTAAAGTCCTCACCGTCACACAAAAGAAAACGCCTATCATCTACGAATACACCCTTGGGACCGAAAAGCTAACTTGGGTTGACCATGAAAAGGACCTTGGTATTACGACTACTACAAAACTCTCATGGAAACTACACATAAACACCATTGTTGCGAAGGCCAACAAAATGTTAGGTATACCGGGTGTCCCAAAAAAAGTACTCCGGTTTGATTCGTAATAACTTCTAAACAAGTAAAGCTTTTAATGAGGAATAACTTGCATCAAATAGAGGAATGACTAACTTAGATTTTGATATATTACAGTTGTATTTCACTAAAAAATTCAAAGAGATATTAATGTTTAAAATCGGGAGCATATTTCTGGATGTGTCTGAAATATGCAAAAAACGGCGTATCAAATATTAATCAAGATTTGCCCGACTGAAACATGCACTATTACCAGTAAATAAATGACACTTGACAAATCGTTTATTATGAAACAAAGTATTATTATCTACAAAATAAAAGCAAGATTTATTCGTCCGAAATCCGCATGTGTTCCCAGCACGAATACGTTAATTTCCTTATTTCATGAGACCACTGCATCGCGAAGGATCGTCATGGATCGTTCGTAGTTCTGAATTAGGGCATGCTGTCACAATGGAATTGTGAATTTTCTAACTTCACATTGAATGAATTTTCTAACTTCTGCAACGTTCTGAAATCTTGTTAAGAACACCCAAACTCTTTTGCCTTTCTTAATCTTGGCAATCTCAGAATAAACTGAGAATGAAACACGATCAAACCATACAACTCCATAATTAAAGACATAACAAGCAACTCCCCAGAGACATCCAACATTTTTGGAACAAAACGTAACAAAATAGTAGCGTTGATACTGTGATGTGTATTTGCAAAAAGCAATATTATTTCCTTCATTAAATAATAATATTCATCCAGACAAAAAACTGCTCTAATCGAGAAATAATCAACTTTGTTTAGAACCCATGTAAAACATAAAAAAATTAGGCTATTTAAGAAAAATTTAAGCGCCTGCCTTCAAGGTCTTTCATGTACCTTTAAGTTTGCAAAGCCAAAGACCTATTAAATACTTTCATAATTTTGAACGTTCATATTTCAGGAAATAATGAGCTAAGACTTACATGTAAGATGTCTTAATCTATGCCATATCCCTTACAAACCCTAACGACAATTCGCTGAAATACCAGTTTGCCTGATATGTCATTAAGCAAACAAACGCTGGAGTTAATATTTGATATGCCGATTTTCGCTAATTTTAGACACATACCAAAATATGCTCCCGATTTTGAACATTAATATCTCCGTGAATTTTTAAGTAAAATACAACTGTAATATATCAAAATCTAAGTTAGTCTTTCCTCTATTTAATGCAAGTTATTTCTGTTTGATAGCTTTAATTGTTTAGAAGTTATTATAAATCAAACCGGAGTACTTTTTTTTGGGACACCCGGTACTTAAAAGAACCTGTACTAGTATTACAGACATGAACACCCGGCGAACTTTGTATCTGTCACTTGTGAAGTCCCAGTTGTTGTATGCTTTGGAGGTGTGGTCACCGGTTAACAACGTTCAGCTATCAAGACAAGTAGAGAAAGTCCAACGGAGGGCAACCAAGTGGATACTAATGAACAGAGAGATGCCTTACAAAGAACGGCTATCGTCGTTAAACCTGCTACCATTAAGTTACGATAGAGAAATGAAGGACTTAACATTCTTTTATAAAGCTTTATTTGGTTTTATAAACGTGAACTTGAGTAACTATGTGTCGTTTGTCAGCCATGGTCGTACTCGATTGAGTCTTTCCTCTGAGTATATCCTTCAAAACCCACTGTGTAAAACTACCACTTTTCAATCCTCCTACTACAACCGTATTGTCAATATCTGTAACACTGTATCTCAAGAAGTATCTCTTGACAGTTTCTCTAGACCTAGTTCTTTTAAATGTTATCTCAAGCAAAAATATTCAAACTTAGTTATGAACTCTATTTACGACGCAGACGTGTCTTGCACGTGGTCTTTGACTCGGGACTGTCCTTGCCACAGGTCCTAACTGTTTATTAACATTATGTAATAATAAACGTTTAACTTAAGAATACCATTGTATAATATATAATATAAACATAACACAACATAATATAGTTTGTAAACCTTGAGTGGGTGCATTTTACGATTTGTACCAGTTGTTTCCCGCAGTTCGTTCATTAAATAGGAATACAATGCATTGTGGGAAGCAACTGGGTGATTTACTAACCCTCGATTTTATGAGGCGTATGCACCTCCGAGGTTTACTAGAACAGTATAGATTTTCTATCAGAACAGTAAATTTTTACTAAGTTTGGGCAGGTGCCTTGCATGGTTCTTCGAGTCCCGTTTGCGCCTCGCCCATTTAGGGTCTCCGAATAATTAGACTTTATAATTAGACTTTGTACATATACTGTAGTGGACCCTAATAAAGACAATAATAATAATAATAATAATAATACCCAAAGTCATAAATTCTATATAATCATATCTAAAATCATAAATAACCAAATACTGAAATCGTAAATCGGTAAATATTTTTCGGTTTATTACTTCTCAGGGCCGAAACAACCGCGATGGGGGGAGGCTTGGCGGGAGGGCTGCAGCTCTCCCAATAATTTGCTATAACCATTCTTTTTTCAAAATCATGCAGACCTTTATCATTTAAATAGTATACCTTTAAAATAATGACAATTGATTAATTTTAGGCGCTTACATTATACACGACAAACTGCAAAGAATCATATTATCCATGGGCAAAGGCGTATTTAATTAACTGTTTAACTTGGGGAAGTCCCCAAGTATATAATTAATTAAATACGCCTTTGCCCATTTAGTACAACTAAATTGCAAGCAAATTGTAAATTTCGACTAAATACTAAAACGCTGTTTTCTGACCATCAGAATTCTGTCAAAACTTTCCCAAAGTACAGGAAATGGCATTTCAGAGACTCTAAATTTAAAAATTTCCTCGGACCCGTGGCCCTCCGTCTCAACCCCCAATCAAAAAGAGATTCCTACTGCACTGCATGCTTCTGTAATAAGTCTGTGCGTAAAATATTCGTATTTTTGTTTGTAAATTCACAACTTGCGCTAACGCAAAGCATCATGGTAGTTTAGTTATCACGGCAGAATTTGCATGATGGCGGCTGTTCACTTTGCATATGCGTGCGTGGTCAATAGATGAAATTTACACGAGTAATATTTTCGTTTAGTTCTCAATAAAAGCTTTCCGACATTCTGTGAGGTTTGTTTTAGTCTGTAGTCTAACATGGGATCTCTAAGAGTCATTGATTTTGAGATATTTAACATGACGATCGGCCCGGTGTGACGCGAAATTCCTGACTTGCGAAATATCTGACTATTGTAGAACTGCGCATCCGCAGACGATGCGCATGAATGACTTTGGCTCATAAATTTCGCAACTGAACAGACAACACGTGTATTTATAAAGCCATTTTATTTATACATAAATTTTCCAACATTAATTCTACAATTGATCAACTGAATTGACACTATACCACTGATTGTGAACGTTATAATAAACCTTGAATCGTAGATATGGAAAAATCACTCGAAAAGCGATCTTAGTGATATAAAATAGACTCCAGTTTCAAAGGTTATGCCGTACATGCATTACTATACTATAAGCACTAAAAATCGTTTCGCGTTTGACCTTCTCACTATTTAGTAAGCAGCAACGATGAGTTCGAAGTTCATGAGTTGGCCGTTTAGATTTGGCGATGTCTATGCTAGAAACATTTGGTAACATCGCATATGGACTTAAAAATCGTTTCGACCGACCGTATTTAGCAAACGTCGTGTATTTCGCTGTCACGACCACACAATTCGCTTTGAAATTTAAAGTGTTTGTGATTGAAACTTAGCGATGTCGATTTGAAATATTTAACGAAGTATTAGAAATTAACATCATGATTATTTTATCTAAACTCTAAAAAACAGTTTTAGCCGACTTAGAATTTAGCAAGCGTCATGTATTTCGCGCCTGTACGCGCGAAATTTCTGACCCGTCACGCTAGGTCAGGTATTTAGCAGAGGTCAGGAATTTCGCTTGACACCGGGCGAAGGCGAACATGGCTTCGATCGGACATGAACGAACACAAATTTAGACTTTTCACACATTTTAAAGGTAAGTACATCGCTAAAATTTGTGTAAAATAAGTAAGACACACTTGTTCATCACTTACAATAGGCAGTTCTGCGATCGAGTCCTAGTTAATAGTTCCAGAGGCAAAAGTGTTTTCACATCAAGCCGGCTTAAAACAACACATGCTTAATCAAGTGTTCCATTACAAACCAAAACATTGAGGACGTTTGGCGCGAAAACTATCCATTCAAAGTATCGGCTTTTTCAGTATCAAAGATTTAAACTGTTAAACAGTACTTTTAAGTACTATTGGCTGCTGTTCACTGTTCGGTGAAGAATTAAAAAAGAAACTATTTGTTCGTGTGTTTCTGTTTGCTGTTTATATTCCTTTTACTTCACGTTTTGGTGCATTTTTTTGCAAAGTAATGGAGCAAACAGATAATATATTTACTGGTCAATGCAGAGAATGGACGAGGAACCTCAGAAGTATTCCTCCTTTCACACATGAGCTATTAAAACAGTATTTAATTACTGATACTTCGGGGAAACAGGGAAAACCACCAAATGAACACGAGCATAAGAAATATGGCTACCAGCTTTTTAAAGAAAAAATGGTTACCAAATTACAAGTTAAGCCAGACATTTTAAAAGGAACTGAACGTTTCTTTCTTGTTAAATGCAATGTGCATACTTCAATGAAAAAGGTGCAATATACTGTATATGTCCACTTTCACCAGGATACAGGAAAAGTGTCAACTGCAAGTTGCTCTTGTGTAGCAGGACAGGGTGGTTTATGCAAGCATGTAGCTGCATTACTTTACCAAATTCTGGACTTTATTCAGCTTGAACTAACTGAAGTCCCAGATGACTTAACATGTACACAGCTACTGCAACAGTGGCATGTACCAGCAAGTGAGGATCTTAAAACTGCTGTACCTTTTGATAATATCAAATTTAGCAAGGCAACTTCAACAAGGAAATGTTATAATACTAATAATACAAACAACCCAGCTCCCGCTTTTGCAAGAAATGTGACTGATACTGACATTAAAAACCTTAAGGATGGATTAAAAACTGTAGGAACATGCAACTATTTTGAAAACCTACTAGAATCAAACAATTGTCAACCTTATGACTACAATGAATTTCTGGCAGAATTACCTTCAAAAAAGAAATTCACCGAAGTCCAGCAGAGTGCGGGTCAATTGTTTAATGTAGAAATAAGAGATTCAATACTGAATGGAATAACCCATCCAAATTTTGCCGAAGTGTGTAAGCATATACCATGCCCACAGCATGTACCATTTGTTGAAGAAAAGCTGCTCAAAACAAAGGAACAAATTATCAATATTGAGTGCAACACAAGAGGGCAGTCCGACAACAATCTGTGGTTTGAAGAAAAGGCGCCTTCGTTTAACTGCCTCAAATTTTGGTTTGGTATTGAAACGTAGGGAAAGTATTTTTCCAAAGTCAATACTTACCAAACAGTTTACTTCTGTCAATAGCAAAACAAAAACACCAAAACCATGTCTATGGGGACAAAGCAATTAACAAAATGCAATTACAAAATACTTAGAAAAATGTAACCATGATGGACAGTGTATCAAAGCATGTGTTCAGTGTAGGTTGGTAGCTAATGCAGAAGCTCCATGGCTAGGTGGGAGTCCAGATTGTTTCCTACATGACATGTGGTATTGGCGAGATCAAATGCCCATTTTCTAAAAAGGACATGAGAATTGAAGATGCATGTAGTTCATTTTTTATGCTGCCTGCTGATGACGAAAACCCCTGACCAACATTGAAAAGAAACCACAACTATTACTACCAGCTGCAAGGGCTAATGGCTACATGTAATGTAGAATGGGCAGATTTCATAGTTTACACCATGGAATAAGTTTTTAGTGAAAGAATTTACTTTGAAAATGAGTTGTGGAACAAAAACATGTTACCTAAGCTAACATAATTTTACTTTTCATTCATTTATCCTGAACTATTAGAAGTATAATAAACTATCAAATTACAACTATGTTTACATGTGTTCTAAGTGTTATTCTGAATCAGGCTTTTCGTTTATTAATGGTGGGTGGAAAAGAGTTAGATAGGAACAAATAACCCAAACTTTGTTCAGTTCTGATGCCATACTCAATGGGAAAACATTTTTCAAAATTCGAAAACATTTTATGCATCAAATTGCCCTTTCAACATGAACTCTAACTGCTGCAATTCTCCTAGTCTCATTTTCATCACCAACTGACAGCTGAGGGGCTCCATTTAAAAATGGTGGGATATTAAGTTTAACTCCATCTGGCATGTCACTCTCAATACCAAAGCCTCTATCTGCCATGACATCGTCACCTGGTTCTAGCATGTTTAGAATACGACAATCTCTTGTGACTTGCTTATCACTTGACCGCCCCGCATACAGCTCTGATATAAATGTAGGGTATCCGGCAGGGGATACAGTATTCCAATAAGCCCTTTGGCGGTATTGTGGTTTTCATATGAAGAATAGGTTGCTGACTGACTTCTAAACAATGTTGGCATTTTGATATATATTTCAGTGCAGTCGATAATGACATGAGTATTTGGATAGGCATCCTTGAAAGCTTGTGGCATGGTTTGTTGAACATGTTCACGTGATGCCCATATGGGAAGGGCCCTTAGTCTATGGTAAAGAAAACCCAACCAGGTGGTTTCAATGCGTGAATACTGGGCTTGTGAAATCCCAAACCTGTTGGCAATGTCAAGTCCCAACAGCCCACATCTTAATCGAACTAGGATCATGAATAGCTCTTGTTCTGGTGGTAGTGACCTTGTTCTACCATGTTTCGCTTGTGTTTCTGATGCATGTTCAGTGTTATTTGAGCCAATGTACATCAGAAAATTACATGCTGGTTGTAGATAATCAAAGAATACTTTAAAAGTTGCATAATTTGGAAAACTTGTGTAAAATTTGAATTTTGCATCACTTGCCATGACATGTTCAATTCGAAGTACGTGTTGTTTGTATTTGGTTGATAACTCAGCATGTTCAGTTTTTTCTAAATCATAGTTTAACTGTAGCTCATTCGTTTTCGTATTTTCATTTGTTGTTTCAAGAAGAGTACTTGGACCACTGTTTGTCTTAGGACCTGAGCATTTTCTACCTTCACTGCTGTTGTTTGTTTGTCTATATGATGACATAGGAGTAGTTGGTAATGAATTTAATACTTTCTTGCCACCAGGAAAGTGTAGTGAGCAGACTTTGTGGCTTTTTAAAGGTTGTTGTTTTTGTATACCTAATAAATTTAGCCATGTTTCGCGATCTTTAAAGCTTGACTCATGAGGAAATTGGTGGAATGACAATTCCGGATTTTTCATGCTGTTGCTTTTACAAAGTAGTACACAACATGTTGTTCCTCCTTTCTTTTTCAACAACAACAACAACAACAACAACAACAACAACAATTTATTTTGCACCACCAAATAAAATAACATTACATGATTTTTTCAACACAGTTTCATTTGCAGTCTCCATCTTTTTTTGCGAAAAACATACCAAAACACGAAGCAAAAGCGTCAAAGCCAACGAATTTCGAGCAGCGACAGCGAGCGTCAAGTAATTTAAATACACAAACAAATATTTCTCTTTGTAAATTCTTTAACAGCAGCCAATATTACTTAAAAGTACTGTTTAACAGTTTAAATCTTTGAAAATGAAAGAGCCGATACTTTGAATGGATAGTTTTCGCGCCAAACGTCCTCAATGTTTTTTTGGTTTGTAAAGAGGAACACTTGATCAAGCATGTGTTGTTTTAAGACGACTTGATGTGAAAACACTTTTGCCTCTGGAACTATTAACTAGGACTCGATCGCAGAACTGCCTATTGTAAGTGATGAACAAGTGTGTCTTACTTATTTTACACAAATTTTAGCAATGTACTTACCGTTAAAGTCGTCATGTTAAATATCTCAAAATCAATGACTCTTAGAGATCCCATGTTAGACTACAGACTAAAACAAACCTCACAGAATGTCGGAAAGCTTTTATTGAGAGCTAAACGAAAATATTACTCGTGTAAATTTCATCTATTGACCATGCACGCATATGCAAAGTGAACAGCCGCCATCATGCAAATTCTGCCATGATAACTAAACTACCATGATGCTTTGCGTTAGTGCAAGTTGCGAATTGGAAGCAATTAAATCACCGCTCCTGCGATATTTTGGTTGGATACTAAATATAAACTTTGCTATGGGTGGAAAGCGATCGGATTAAGGTTTCTGTCAGGCTATTATTTGTAATATAAACCTTGAGAACTTGCTTCGATTAAAGGACGTGGGAACTTATCGTTTAAGATCTAGCAGACAGAAACTACTTGTTGTTCCTACAACAACTTGTAAAACATTTGGAGACCGTGCTTTTGTCAAAGCTGGTCCTGTTGTGTGGAATAGCTTGCCTCTTAATATAACAGAAACTTCCAATGTTTCAACTTTTAAGAAACTTTTAAAGACCTTTTTGTTCACAAAGGCCTTCAGTCAACAGAAAGACTTGTAGTTTTTAGCAATTTTATGATATACCATTTTGGTCTCCTGTAAAAGACACATATATATACATTTATTTATATATTTGATTACAATGTTGTAAGTTGTAAACTGCGCTTTAGAATATTTATAGTTTTAGTGCAATATAAATACGTTTTAAAATAAATTTTAAATTAAATTAAAAATTAAAATAGAGCCTGATACTCGGGTTACAGAAAAGGGGACTTAATTACGGAGGAGGATTATTTAATTGAGCTTATATATAAACCTTTATTAATACTTTCATAGAGTATTTATAGTATGATGGAGGATTTATGGTAAGAGAGGATTTTAGTTAATTAAAGATGATGTCCACTCCATTCTGCACATCAGTTCTGCTCATAACAAAGGGAAGATAGATAGATTTATTCACTCATCTTCATATTAAATACAACAATAACAAAAACACTTACAAAAAAATAAAGAAAATAGATAACTAGATTAATAATAATATTCATGACAATAATTAATAAGATGAGTACAGGGTATCCTAATAGTGAAAACTAATCTGGAGAATACCCTGTATTTACAGGTTTAGTTATCTAAGAGATATAAAGAAATATAAATTAGAATCAGCATACATATAATATAAAACAACACTGAGAAAAAAGAAACGAATATTACAAAATATTAACAGAAAAATTACAAAATAGATTAATAGCTATACCCATCGATCATGTATTGCTTAAAGGGGAAGTCAGAGTTCAGAACAACTTAGGCTGACATGAAAGATCATATAATGCTTACCTCTCACACAAAGTCCCACATGTCCAAGTTATAACCAAGTCGAGAAATAAAGCGATAAATGTGCTAAAATTTACATATAACGCAGCCGCCATTTTGTACATCAAAGCGAAGCTGCGATCACGCAGCGGTTTTACCTTGTGACGTCATTGTGCGGTTTCGCGGGAGCGCATTTATATTCAAATTTCAAAACAACACAGCAATTTCACAGGCGACTTTTCTAGTTTTATAAATACTTATTTCGGAAAAATGTACTGCATGGTTCCTGGTTGCACAATTTGTTCAAAGAAGACAAAAGGGAGTGATATATCGTATCATCGTTTGCCAAATGATCAGCAAATGCGAAGAACATGGCTCAGACGTGTTCGTCGTGACAACCTGCCGAAAGCTAATTCGTGCTATTTTTGCAGTGCTCATTTTACCCCAGATTGTTTCGAGGGTTCTCTTAAAGAATTATTTGGCATGAAAGGGAAAAAGGCTCTAAAATCTGGAAGTGTTCCATCGATATTTCCGTTTTTACATCGCAAACCAGAACGCAAATTATCATATAAGAGGGCACAAATCAGAGAGAAAATTGCGAAAGACGAGGTAATTTCTATTACTGTAGAAGTGTATTTTTCTGTGTGAACAGACTAGATTGCGAAATCTATAAAGGTTATGGTAGGGGATGGCAATTACTAATTTACTGTACATTCTCTATTATGGACGCCAGAGCTTTACTTTTCAGGTCTGTTGGATGGGGGAGGGGGGTAGTCCCAAGGCGGGCTCAATAGAATAGGGTTATAGCTTAATATGAAACCACAGAAAAGCAACATTATTAGCGTCCGGGGTAAATTATTTATCGAGTCATTAACATGAATGCAGGGGGGGAAGGGATAGAGGATTTACGGTTTGATCCATAAGTACTTTAATAATGAATTAAAATGGTCCACCGGGTAGCCACGTTTTTGGACTATTTTAATTCAAAAGTGGCAAAAAACGTGGATTTCTTTGCAGGAAGTAGCAAGCCTATTAACAATAAACAGCGAAGAGCATGAAATGGGCAATACATGTATTGAACAAGAACTGCCAAGTACGTCAAGTCACGATGCAGAAACACAGTGTGATTTGAAGATTTTGTTGGATGCAGAGGTCCAGTGTGAAAAAATATTAAAACGGAGTATTGCTATACAAACTCTTGCCCAACTTAAAAATAAATCTAAAAATAAAAAAAATTCTTCTACTGTTCGCAATACCAATGGAGAATGAAGGCTGTCAAAGGTCACTCAACAAAGTTATTGACCAAAATGTCCATACAAGATCTTTGTCAACTGATCGTCATACCCAGATCACATCAGAGATGAGGAAGAAATACCCCTCCATAATCCATCAGTATGACGTGTGGCATCTGTCGAAGTGGATTAAAAAAAATTTGGGGAAGAAAGTTAAGACAAAGATCAATGAATCGCTTCTTAAATGGATCCAATCTGTGTCCAATCATCTGTGGTGGTGTTCACAGACTTGTGGTGGTGATGCTGAAGTTTTACGTGAGAAATGGGTCTCCATCTTGAATCATGTGGTTAACAAACACAGATGGAAGAATGGCAAGCGATTTCGAAAGTGTGGACCTGGGCGTCTCTCTAGAAGAAAGGAAAGGAAGACAAAATGGTTAGAGGATGGGTCTGCAGCATACGTAGCACTAGAAGGGGTGGTTCTCAATAAAAAACTTTTAAAAGATATTGAAAAACTCACAGAATTTCATCATACCGGTGATAATGTTGAAGTACATTCCCAAACGTCGTCATTTTTCATACAAAGGCATGTTGGCCAGAACCCAATTGGCAGTGATTGACCACAATTCCAACACTGGAAGGAAGCCAGCAACAGTTACAAAGGGAAGCAAGAAAGGGGAAAAGAGGTACAAGCTAATTTTCCCGAAAGGCAGAAAGAGATGGGTTGCAAAACCAGTTAAGGCCAGTAAGTCCTTTTCCTTTATCCAAAACTTGATGGAAGATGTTTTTTCCTTCAAGTATGACAAGAAAAAACCCTATACTTCAACGATGCCTGCCAATATTCCAAAGAACATTGCACCCACACCAAGGCCATGCAAAGAAGAGATTATAACAGCACACAGATCACGAATGGGAAAGAAACCATAAGCTGTTTCCTGAAGTGTGTTGAAATGAGTAGGTGAACCCAGTGGTGGACACTGGGGGGGGAGGGAACCTTTAAATGATACGTGAATAACAGTGTAAGAAAGCTATAACTTACAACAATTTTCCAACCATGGAAAAATTTATCACTACATACAGTATTGCATGAAATTTAGGGCAAGAAAGTTGAAAGAACTAAGACTTCCGGCTACTAAATGTGGTCATATGTTGTAACTTAATTCCCCCCCCCCATTTTTTCCCAAAGTGTCCGTCACTGGGTCGAGCCGCAATGTCCTACTTTGTTATTTTACTCTGTCTACTGTTATGCCAATTTACACATCACAGAGAAGTGTAGGAGAAGCATTAATGTATTAAGCAGACTATATGCATATTCTCTTGTAAACCCATTTAGCTGGCATGTGCTCTACTTTGTTATTTTACTTTGTCTAATACAAGGCAATTTTACTAAATAGGGAGCATTGGGTGTCAATGGGTTAACCAGACTTCCTGCTCATGTCTCTGGTGAACCCATTTAGCCATATTAGTTAACATTATAAAGGAGAATTGTTGGGAACTGTGATTGTTCTAATAAACTAGATTGATTATCTAGACCCAATGGGTCCCAATGCCTAAAATAAGGAGACAACTAATTGGATAAAGTTTCCTGAAGAATGAAGCAGACTCTTTGTTCTGAAATAGTTAAAACAATAACACTTTTAAATGGAGGGGAACAAAATAGTTGTAAATATTACATAATGTACTATACTGTAAATAATTGTAATTAGAAAATATTACTTGACAAAACAAAACAAGCAGATTACTGTAGGTTGAAAATAATGTTAATAATATAGTTAGCCAAATAGCAATATTTATACAACAATATATGGAAAGTAAGAAATGAAAACCCCTATCACATATTTAATTACTCATCTGCAAATTTAAAACCCTCAAAAACAAAGTCCTCTTCTAAACCTGGTGGTGGGAAGTGTGCTCGAATACAACTAACTGCACAAGATGGCAAGGGGACCCTTATCTCTTTGCCTAATATATCCCAACACCACCGAACAAACTGCCTGTAAGCAACATGTCTTCGTTTTTTGTGTTCAGGTCCTTCATGTGCCTTTATGCCATAATGTTGTCTATAATCGCTCCAAGCAACTCGCAAGACCCAATAATTCCGACATAAATACTGAAATGCAGGGTTATCAGTAATACATTCTGGGACTGGTATCTCCTCAATTTGTGCTGCTTCTTGGTTTATAGAAACACAAGCTGGGATCTCGTGGCAGCAAATACTTTCCTCTTCCCTATCCATTATTTGGCAGTGAGTACAAAGGCACCTACACGTATAAAGCCAAGTTCCAATTTAATCATAAGTTAATTTGGGCTAAACCAAGTTAATTTGGGCCAAAGGCCCAAAGCATAGCAGTTGAATTTATGATTTTCAGTCATGTTTGATTCATTGAAAACTATAATAATTATAAGTACAAACATAATAATGTATAATAATGCCGCCCATAATAATGTACAAACAATTAAAGCACTAATAACCCTAGTTGGGCATGTTGCTGAAAAAGCTTAACCTACATAATTATCTACAACATAAATAATAGAAGCAAATTTAGTAAATAATTACCAGTTTGTGTCCTGAAGTCTGGGGGTTTTGTCAGAACTTGACGAAGATTCCGAAGCCATTTCTTCCGAGTCTTCATGGTCACCGCTCGAGTCTGTTTCAACCAGTTCAAACGCATAAGGTTGAATCATGTTTACGTCTCTTTCGACGTTCATATCTTCGCTATAACTCGATCCACTGCTTCCAGAACCATCGCTCGAAGATTCGTTTGAGTAATCAATATCCATTTCTCTTGATACAGTATTTCTCTTAAATTTATAAATACTATTTCGTCTTTGTTTACATGTATATCAGAAAATTAAAGTACTAAAGCCTGTCTGCCGTGGAAAACCAACCGCGCAATGACGTCACAAGGTAAAACCGCTGAGTGATCGCAGCTTCGCTTTGATGTACAAAATGGCGGCTGCGTTATATGTAAATTTTAGCACATTTATCGCTTTATTTCTCGACTTGGTTATAACTTGGACATGTGGGACTTTGTGTGAGAGGTAAGCATTATATGATCTTTCATATCAGCCTAAGTTGTTCTGAACTCTGACTTCCCCTTTAATCTTTTTACTGAATATAGAAAGTGATGAACTTGATTTTATCTCATACAGAACCAAATTCCATAGTAATGCACCAGAGTATTTAATTGACCTTTTACCAAATTGATCAGATCTTTTATGCGTTAGGAAAATATTATCATTTGATGATTGTCTACTTTGGTGTGAATGTGTATCACTCAAAAAATCATAATTAAGTAGGACACATAAGTTTGACCCCATATCTCAATACTGTAAGTAATAAAACTATATATTAACGAATAATAAATTGAAAGTAAAATGTCAGTATTGAGATAGTGTCGCAATTTAGATAATATACCAACAGATTTAGCAATTTTCTTGGACAGCTCAGAAATATGAGATCTCCAAGACAGTGTAGAATCAATAAGAACACCTAGATATCTAAACGGACAGACAACATGCCCTAAAGCGCAGTGCGCAAAATCTCAATAATTCAGTTAATACTACGCCCATCAAATCGGTTCAAAGCAAAATCTCAAAACTTAATACCACACCGCAAAAGTCAGGAGAAAAAAGTAAGTCAATAGAAACGAAGTTAGATGAGTTACACGACATGATGAAAGTTGTGATGAATAAGCTCAATAGGCTGGAGTTAATCGAAGATCATATAAAGAATGTAGAGGATGGTTTTAATGATTTAAAAAACTCGATTGACTTCGCACACGCTGAAGTAGTCGATTTAAAGGAAGACAACAAAGTTCAGAAGATAAAAGGCGAAGAAATCCGCGCAAGAATAGAAAAATTGGAGCAAGAAAATACCGCATTAAACAATAGCGTTATTGACCTCAAAGCAAGGTCAATGCGTGACAATCTTATATTTTATAACATTGAAGAAACAGAAAGAGAAAATACCACTGAAAAAGTCCACGGATTATTAGAAGAAAAGATGGGATTCAAGGATGCAGCTACGAAGATTAAAATTGACCGCTCGCACAGAATAGGAAGAGCAAGAAGAGATGGAAAACCACGACCTATCGTGGTTAAATTTAACTGGCATCAAGACAAGGAGCAGATTAGATTTAATGCAAAAAAACTCGCGGGAAGTAATATCGGAGTTTCGGAGCAGTATCCAGAGGAGATTAATGCTATAAGGAAAAAATTGTACCTTGTGTACAAGGAAGCAAGGAGGAATAAGAAGAAAGCGACACTGGTTCGTGACAGATTATTTATCGATGGCAAGGAAATTAAACTATGATGAACAGACATATTCAGAGTTGTATTTCATGCACTTGAACTTGGAATACCATTACATAATTATATCCTTTAAATTATTTAAATATTTTCTTTATTCATATAACTAAATTTAACAATGTCTACAAAAACTACAATTAGCACAATTATTAATGATATTGATCCCATGCCTTTTATATCGTTATCCGACAATGAATTTTCTCAGGAATTTTCCTTAAGTAATCAAGAATGTCATAAATTCAGAAATGGGTTCACGCATAGCGATATGGATAGACTAAGTCAATTGAAATTCGATCCCTTTAAAACTAATGATAATATAGCATTAAGCAGAAATAACACTAACCTAGACAACTCTCTTCAGATTAATAATATGAACTCTAACTACTATTTACCAAGTGAATTTAGAAAAAAAAAAACAGAAATAAATATTAAAAGTAATTTTTCTCTTGTACATCTGAATATAAGAAGTATTACGAACAAGTTTGATCACTTTAAAGAGCCACTTGATTCTTTAAACACCGAATTTAAAATTATAGGATTAAGCGAAACATGGCTTAACAATAATACTAATGACGCTGGTTTTGATCTACCGACATATAACTACGTTGGTACAAACAGAACAAATAAAAAAGGCGGAGGGGTTGGAATATATATTGCAAAACAACTAAAGTATAAAATTCGTAAAGACCTTAATACAAATATTGAAGAAACAATAGAATCAGTTTTTATTGAGATAAGCATATCCGCGGGTAAGAACATAATAGTTGGAGTAATTTACAGACCACCAAACAACAAAATTGAAATATTTCAAAATGCATTAAACGAAATTATAGAAAAAATTGACAAAGAAAATAAAATCAGTTACTTCATGGGTGACTTTAACATTGATATGCTTAAATCAGAATCCTGTACTCACACGAGTCGATTTACTGAACAATTTTTTACCTCCTCTTTTGTTCCTCTAATAACAAAGCCAACAAGAATAACTTCACATACTGCAACATTAATCGATAATATATTTACCAACAACATAGATAAAATTGAACAAAGCCTTAATGGAATTATTTTTAGTGATCTATCTGATCACCTACCTATTGTTCACATTTGTAACTTAGAAGATTCTAAAGAATATAATAATCAGGCAAATAATGATAACATTGAATCAGACTTTAAAAGAACCATTAACAATAAAAATATCAATTCTTTCATTAAAGAAATTAAAAACATTTCGTGGAATAATGTACTTACTAATACAAACCCTGAAAGTGCCTTCAATGAATTTTCTAAACAATTTACAACAATTTATGAAAACAATTTTCCGATTAGGAAGAAGTCATGTAAAAATAAAATAAACTCAGCAAAAAGTCCTTGGATGACAAGGGCATGCTCAGATCAATAAAGAGAAAAAACACACTTTACAAGGGCATGCTCAGATCAATAAAGAGAAAAAACACACTTTACAAACATTATTTAACAAATCCTTGCAAAAAGAATGAAAACAAATATAAAACGTATAAAAACAAATTAAATCATACAATAAAAATCTCTAAAAAGTTATATTACGAGGAACAATTAATAAAATATAAACATAACTCAAAAATGATATGGAAAACGTTAAACGAAATACTTAATAAAAAAATAAAAGTAAAAGAGCTACCCAAGATTTTTCTTGACACTGACTCTTCAAATGAAATTAAGGATCCAAAAATAATATCTAATAAATTTAATGAATACTTTACCAACATTGGGCCTAATCTAGCTAAGAACTTCGGGAATGATGTAAATGCAAGTTTTGAAAAATATCTTACTGGCGACTATCAAAAGAGCATTTTTTTAGCACCAGTAACTGAGAATGAGCTAGAAACTGAAATTAAAAACATGGACTCAAATAAAAGTCCAGGATACGATAATATTAGTGGTAAGATAATAAAATTATCGGCAGGAGAAATTACAAAACCACTTACTCATATATTTAATTTAACATTTGTAAATGGAATTATTCCTGAAAATTTAAAATTAGCAATAGTAACACCAATCTTTAAAGCAGATGAAAATAACAAGTTTAAAAATTACAGACCAACTTCAGTTATTTCTTGCTTTTCTAAACTACTTGAAAAGCTAATGTATAACAGATTAATTAGTTTCATTGATAAAAACCAAATTCTTTTCAAGCACCTGTAACGATGGTAGGGTACCGTTTTGGGTTCCCTGTGACACACGGCCAGGGAATGGGCATAGAACAAGATGGCGGACAGTCAGAATTTTATAACTTTATATTCTTAGCTTTTTATGTATGTTTCACTGTTCATTTACCGTCTATTAAAAACGTAACATGGTGTCAGGAGTAAAACTAGTCTATGTGGATGGACGTTAGCGTTGATACGGCCGGAAACGACGAAGAAACAAGCGAAAACTCAACGAGAATGGCGTATTTTCAGATACCTCCTCCGGACGTGCTTAATTTAAATGATGGTTCAACGGCTTCGAACTGGCGCGAATGGAAGTCCGCTTGGAGCAATTACACGTTGGCGACAAAGCTTGATAAAGAAGACGAGGCACGTCAGGTAGCTACACTTCTAGCAGTAATAGGAAAAGAAGCAAACAAAGTATTTAGGACATTTGTTTGGGGGTCAGAAGATGATTCTAAGAAAATTGATCTAGTCATAACGAAGTTCGAGGAATACTGTATTCCAAGACAGAATGTGACATATGAACGTTTTCGACTGTTTACGCGTGATCAAGGGCCCACAGAAACCGTAGACCAGTACATGATGGAGCTGCGTAGAATTTCTGCAAACTGTGATTTGGAGTCGATTACACCAGATCAAATATTGCGAGACCGACTTGTTACTGGAATTAGGGATGCAAAGGTACGCGAACGATTACTTCGAGACAATAAACTTACCTTAGAGAAAGCACTAGACATTGTGCGAGCTGCTGAGAGTACGACAGCTCAAATGAAGGAGATGAATTTAGAGGCTGGAATACATGCTGTCCGGCAGACACAACAACATGACGGGTCCAAAGAAGATGTACCAAAATCGGATAAAGCGGTAATAAAGGATTGCAAATATTGTGGTCGCGATCATGAGAAGCGTAAATGTCCGGCATTTGGCCAAACATGTAGAAAGTGTGGAGTAAAAAATCATTTCGCAGTTAAGTGCCAAGCTAAAAGTAAAGTTTCTGCTGTGCATGATCAAGATCGATTTTATTTGGGCACCACCAAAACGGGTGAAAAGGAAGTTCGTTCAACTGTAACTTTAACAATGTTAAATGAAGTAGACGATGTACCAAATGGAGATGTCCAATTTCTTATGGACACTGGGGCAGAATGTAATGTACTACCATTGAATGTGTACCAGAAAGTGACAGGTGATAAAGAACTAAATAAATTAGATAAGAACAAACGTTCAGTGCTCGTTTTAGCCAATGGATTTGAACAGCCTATTGAAGGTCGGGCCATGGTGAGAGTAAGTCGAGGTACTCAGACCCACAAACTTGTTGTGAATGTAGTAAAAGGACAAGGGTACGAGCCAATCCTATGCAAGCAGACCTTGATTGACATGGGCATGATAAAGATCCTTGATTCCGACCAAAAACCCCGAGTAAGTGTAGTAACAGCAGGATGCGACCCTTTGTTACAAGAGTTTAATGATGTCTTTGAAGGTCTTGGAAAGCTCGAAGGACAATACACGATTGTCACAGATCCATCAGTGAAGCCTGTGGTACATCCGCCTCGCCGTTTGCCAGTAGCATTAATCGATCAAGTCCAAGAAAAGCTTGACAACATGGTAAAGGATGACATTATTGCAAAAGTTGATCAACCCACTGATTGGGTCTCCAGCATGCTCGCTGTCCGAAAACCGACGTTGGGGCCAGACGGAAAAGTTGATATTCGCATTTGTCTTGATCCAAAAGATCTAAATGGTGCAATAAAACGTGAACATTTCCCAATGCCTACTATTGAAGAAGTTGCTACGCGATTAAATCGGGCGAAAATTTTCAGTGTGTTTGACGCCAGTAATGGATTTTGGCAAGTAGAACTCGATCCAGCGTCCAGCCGATTCACTACTTTCAACACTCCATTTGGGCGGTATTGTTGGAAACGTATGCCGTTTGGTATAAGCAGCGCACCAGAAGTATGGCAGCGAAAAATGCACGAACATGTTGAAGGGTTACATGGGGTGGAAGTGATAGCGGATGATTTTGTTGTGGTTGGGTTTGGAAGTACCCCAGAGGAGTGGAATGCTGACCATGACCGCAATGTCCGTGCTTTTCTGGAGCGCTGTCGGGAGAAGAACCTGAAGCTCAAGAAAGAAAAAGCTCAGTTAAGGAAGACGGAAGTGGCATTTATCGGACACATATTAACCCCAGATGGTTTGAAGCCTGATCCAAAGAAAGTAGAGGCCATCAACGACATGCCTCATCCTACAGATGTGCAGTCTCTACGAAGGTTCCTGGGTATGGTAACCTACCTAGCCAAGTTTTTGCCATGTCTTTCTGATGAAACGGAAGTGTTGAGGAAGCTCACAGAGAAAGATGCCGAGTGGTGTTGGTTAACCGCACACGAAGAAGCCGTGGTACGAATCCAAAGAATGATCAGCACTGCGCCAGTGCTTGCCTACTATGACGTCACAAAGCCCGTAACTATACAGTGTGATGCCTCCCAAACCGGTCTTGGAGCTGCTCTTCTACAAGATGGCCACCCAATTGCCTACAGCTCTCGAGCACTAACAGCAACTGAGCGCAACTACGCGCAAATAGAGAAAGAGCTCTTAGCCATTGTCTACGCGTGCGAGAAGTTCGACCAATACATTTTCGGAAAGAGCGACGTAGTGGTAGAATCAGACCACAAGCCACTGGAGACTATATTTAGAAAACCCATTCACAGCGCACCGAAGAGGTTGCAACGGATGCGATTACGACTACAAAGCTACGATATCCGAGTCGAATACAAGAAAGGAACCATGATGTATCTGGCTGATACGCTCAGTCGAGCGTATTTGAATGTCAGCGCAAAACAAAGAGAGTCTTGTGATGTACGAGCAGTGAAAGAACAAGTATTTTCAGCTGAACTCGAACAGTTAAAGCATGATGAAGACCTAAATGTTCTCCCACAAAAATTGAAGAAACTGCGGGAAGAAACAAGCAGAGATGAGGAGCTCAAAATTCTGATCCACTTTATCACTCATGGTTGGCCTGACAATCGTAAGGAAGCATCCAAACTCGATAATCCCAGTAAGAGAGTTTTCTATTTATACTGGAACAGTCGTGATGAATTGACCTATGAAGATGGCATTGTGTATAAAGGACACCGCGTGGTGATACCTGCGGCAGAGCGTCAAAATACCATGAAAAGCTTGCATCAATCACACATCGGTATCGAAGGCACTTTGAGACGAGCACGTGACACCGTCTACTGGCCTGGAATTACGGCAGTTCTTAAAGATTACATATCCAAATGTGGAATTTGTAACAGATATCGACCAGAACAATGCAAAGAACCATTGCACCCTCACAAAGCGCTCGAAATACCATGGGAGAAAGTCGGCGTAGATTTATTTGAGTTGGACGGACAGACATTCCTAATAGCGGTGGATTATTATTCTGGGCTGTTTGAAGTTCAAGACATGACAAGTACAGTGGCATCGCGTGTCATCACCGTACTGAAGTCGTGGTTTGCTCGACACGGTATTCCTATTTCAGTGATGAGCGATAATGGCCCGCCATTCAACAGCGAAAGTTTTAAAGACTTTAGTGACGAATGGGATTTTAACCATATTACCTCTAGTCCTCACCACCCACAAAGCAATGGAAAAGTTGAGAATGCTGTAAAGACCTGCAAATCATTGTTAAAGAAAGCTCGCGACGACAAACAGGATCCACTCCTCAGCATACTCGAATGGCGCAATACACCAACCGAAGGCATGGGTGCTTCTCCCGCCCAGTTACTGTATGGTAGACGTACTCGAACACGTCTTCCTGTTGCAAAGAAACAGTTGAAACCGATTCTTATCGAAGGAGTGACGAAGAAGATCGAGAAAGGCAAAGAGAAGCAAAAGAAATATTTTGATCGACAGTCGCGGAAGTTGAAAAGGCTGTCAGCAGGCGATGTCATCCGAATGCGTTGTAAGGGTGATTCAAGATGGTCTCTTGGTAAGGTCATTGAAGTTATGGGTTTTCGATCTTACCTGGTTGAGGTCAATGGAAGAAGATATCGTCGAAATCGAAGGCATTAACGTACGACCGCAGAGCAGTTACCTTTACAAACCGAACTGTCCGATGCAGATGAGCCGTTGACTGACGACGAATCAATCAACGAGCCCCCTGAAGTAGATACAATGGGAGGCCAGAGACATGGGGAAGATGGTAATGTACGCCGCTCGGGGCGAAGCCATCGTGCTCCAAAACGTTTTGAAGATTACGAGTGCAATTGACACTAAACCTTTAAATAAACTAGTTATAGGTTTGAACCGAATGTGATCGGTTGATTACATAGAACAGTTATCGAACTTGTTTATGATAACGCATAGCTAATTCGAACAATCGAACAGTTTCCGTTGAGTTTTGTTTTGAAGCTATAATTAAGAAACTTAAGGAGAAGAGATGTAACGATAGTAGGGTACCGTTTTGGGTTCCCTGTGACACACGGCCAGGGAATGGGCATAGAACAAGATGGCGGACAGTCAGAATTTTATAACTTTATATTCTTAGCTTTTTATGTATGTTTCACTGTTCATTTATCGTCTATTAAAAACGTAACAGACATGTTTATAGCAATGTGCTTTCAGCACGTTTTAAAAACAAACGTGGAATGTTGTGTAGCAGGGCTTATAATGGCTGACGTGAAATTTTGGTGGGGTTGAACATTTTATAACACCTCGGGGTGTTATACTTGGTACTAACCCCCCAGGCCCAGTAAATCTGCCCATGGCTGTCTGCACATATTAACTTACCAGCAGTTATATGTAATAGCATGTCAACAGACTTTTGTACAAGGTATGACGGTTTGTAAAAATATATCTCTGAGATATGTCCATTGTCAGCATATTAAATAAGGAATAATCCTTACTGGCCTACATAAGAGGGCCTCCTATACTTTTTGCGTGAAGCGTGAAGGGCTTATTTTACTTAGCCGTGAAACGTGATCGATGATTTTCTTAATCCGTGACTCGTGAAAAGGCAAAATATTTTTACGTGAAAGCATATTGTGAAGAGGTATAGGGGGCCCTCACATAATACATTCATATATTCACCTGGCTGTGTCACTACATTTCAGGGTATACTATATTTTCTCGATAATGCTCACAATTTCTTTCTTATTAATATACAGTTTTGAAGTTATGACTGAGTACAATCTTAATCATTGGCATTACAAATGAATGGTGCCATCTGAATCTGATGTATTAAATTAAACAAAAATGACAGTTAATGTTCTGTGATAGGGGTAGTTTTGTATTATAGTATTTCTATACATGAAATTGTTATTAAATTTTACATGTCTAATGATTCATTCAAGTATTATTATTGTTGTTGTACATTTATTATATAAAGTATAGTGCTTTATAGAGATTTCGAACACTGATAAAGCTGAGGAAATAGGAAGTTAACCCCCCTACCCCCTTCGGATGTCCTAATACATTTACTATTATCAGAAACAATTTTTTCTCCCCTCCCCCTCCGGACGGCAGAAATTTCCTCCGTGGGGGGAGTATGGATCTTTTCTGGAACGACCCAATCTCACATGTGAAAATTATCGCTTTTCAATAATCGCTTTTCTGCAAAAAATATCGCTTTTCAAAGACTGTCCTTTATATAATAAACAGAAAAATAAACATAAATACTTGGAAATACCAGATTTATTTCTCGAAATTTCCGCACACCCATGTATTATTCTCTATATAAATATATAATATTGTACAGTATTCAGTGGCAAGCTAGTCATGGCAACTCGTCATGCTATGCCCTCTGTGCTATGCCTATGCTGATAATCTTGCATCTATTTGAATGATACAAATCATTAATAACTTGCATAGCATGACTTGTTGCTATGGCTAGCTTCACCAATGACAGCATTATAAGTATACATAACAAAAGCAAGAAGTTATAAGCATTGAAGGTATTCATATAAAACCACAGGTGGCCAGGCTCTGTGTGGGTATTTATTTATTTTTTAATTTTATTATATTTTGCATTACAAATTTACTTTAATTTTTTTAATTATAAAGTATAACTTACTTAGTTTCCTTTATGTATTCTTTATGTATTTGGTGGTGGTTTTAGTTTTATATAATGATATAAAAACATCATGAGAGTAATGGCAAAGCGGGATCATGTAAACAGCCCCTTATTCAGCCAATTGTGCATGCTGCCTTTGATCCCTTGGGGGGTGAGGCAGCACTTTCCTTGCGATAGTAACTTCTAGTTGTAAGAATAAGCGAAAATTATACCCTGTGCCATGCAAATTTAAATACAACTATTGAAGGTTTATGTTTTATAATATTCCACAGCAGTTTAATACTATAATGTTATTAAATGACTATGATTATATGCCATTAAAAGTTTAATTAACGTTTACAGTCGATTTCACGAAACTTTGACCACAACATTTCCGAACTTCGTTGCGAAGTTCACAAGATTGTTGCGAAGTTCAAAAGTTCATAATGAGATTCACAAACCAGTTCGTAAACTACACATTTGATTGGCTTCTTTTACTTCACGGATCAATCAGGGACGTTTACAAATTGGCTTGTGAATTCCAATATGAGCTTCCGAACTTCGCAACGAACTTGCGAACTTCGCAACGAAGTTCGGAACATTTGTGGTCAACGTTTCGTGAAATCGACTGTAAAATCGTCCCCGGGGTGGGGCATTTTCCACTCTCAGCTTACCCAGGGGCAGTGCATTAGTCTTCAAGTTGTGTCCCGGCACCCGGGCATTTACACTATCATAACCAATCAAATCAAATTCCCAAATTTTCAAATCAAATTGAAAAGTTTGCAATGTCTGTGTCGATTCAACATCGAACACCGAGAAAGTTAAAAAAATCCCAATTTGTGACAAGTTCGTGCAGACTATGTGATTCCGTTGGAGGTATATCTCATTCGAAAAATATTTTCAAGAAAAACAATCGTGAACTGCTTGTATTAGCTGAGGCAATTACGGGTGAAACTATTCCGCACCACGAAGATCTACCTGAATTAATATGCCGTGCATGTGAAAGAAGGATTGGTCACTTCAAAGAATTTAGAACTAAAATTCGCGAGAATCAAAAAACATTCGGTCGCTCCAGCAAAAGATGCGTGGAAATGTCTCCCTCTCTTGTGCGTGTAGCGAAAGCTCATCGACATTTGCAGACCGACCCAGTTTCTCAAATGTTAGACTTTACATCAGATGAAGAGCAGATAACAGAAGAGGTAAGTTTCTCTTTAATTTTATTATGTTAAAAATTTTAAACGTTTGCTTTTGATATACGCATTTGCTAAAATGCCCATTGAAGACTAGATCAAACTGTTCCATTGCTTCCATGTTGTTGTTCCTAATTTGCAGAGGATGACCTGCATATAAAGAATGACACTTATCAGCCTATTTCAAATCTGAATAAACATTCCCTTTTCAAGCTTTTAAATTGAAATATTACGAGTTTGTTTTGAACATTGTTATTCTTGTCACTTGTGCTTACGAGATGTTGCCGCCGCCGAGTAAAATTATCACAAATCAAATGCCTTGGCTGTTTTTTCTATGTAATATTATTACTCTTCGTATATTGGACGCAGCGTAATTGCTACAATTATTAGGTTCTACGCAAAATGTGCAGTTCTAAATCAGTTCGTGTTAACTCATGTTTACATAATCGTTTTTGTACGAAAGTAAAAACATTCAATCAATCAATGGGTTGAAATACACAAGGAATATGTAAAATAGTATACAATCTGCTATGGTCTATGTATTAAAAGGGCAAAGTGAGCGATAGTTCATGGGATGTTACTGTTAAAAAACTAACCTTTTCAATTAATTGTAGTAATTTATGTTAGAGTAATACTTGATGACTGGTACTATATATAGTTTATATACGGGAACTTATTAATTTAGTCTGCCATCACTCACATTACACGTTGCGAGTGTTTGAATGTATGTGCAGTAAGGTTCTAAATTTTTCTTTAAAAACCACTTATCTCACTCATTGATCTCACTGCATCTCCGGCAGAGGAGGTTGGACAGCTAATTAGCGAGTTGTCACGTGAGCTCTCGACCAATGAGATCGCTCTATTTTCCATCGTGTTATCTGCAGAATTTGGACAGAAAAATTTGCATTCGACGGAAAATAAATCGGAAAAAAATATTAATATTAAAGTGTTGTAGTACTACTACTAAAGATCTGCCCATATCTGCAAAAATCTCTGAGGTAAACTTTATTTTCAATGTTATTTTGATGTTTGAAGTTAGTCGACTCCCCGCGACGTGTTGACTCAAGTCTAAATATGTTTACGATGTTTATTTAAAATGAAATATCTAGAATTCCCATGGTTCGATTTTCTTCATTTTTGGTAGTCGTCAAGAAAAATATATCAGCTTTAAATCTGCTGGAATGATCCCGGTGATCCCCCCCCCGCCCTGGCAGTTTTCGAGATATTGACCGTTGAAGTGACTACTGTCAACTCGACGTTCGCTAAAATGGCGTCTAATACCGTGGAAAGAATTTACGCCATCAAAGATGACATTTTCAATGAATTTTTGTTAAAGTGCTAAAATATTATTTAGAAGACTTAGGAGTTGTTTTAATATTTTTGTAGAATTTATATCTGTGCGACTTTCAAAGTTTTGTTGTCTTTGGCCGACGCGACTGGATCGTGTACGTATTTCAAGACGAGCTGATCGCCTGATCCTGGGGTTTTTGCATAGATATCTATGGGTTTTATGTGGCAAATCGAGCTGCGGAATCCTCAGCATGGACAAATCAGTGTCATAACAGCCCATTTCAAACCATCAGAGAGCTCCACTTGTTTTAAAGCAATAAGGGACCGGTCATTATTTATGGCAGGGGTGGGGGCCGAAGAGAAAATGGTGGGGTAACTGAAAAATAATAGTTGCTTTAGGTGGGGTGGCCAAAAAATCCTTGCATGCAGAGGTGGGGTAAAAAAAAAATAACC